TTTTTTTTTTCCCCTTTTGTGTGAAATGTTTCTGTTTTTTTTTTTTTTTTTTTTTTGGTGGCTAACAGCTACAGTGTGAGCAAATGTATTTTTCAACTTATTTTCTGTTCTGAGGAGTGTTCAACTCTGATATTGATACAGTGTTTGGTTTTAGAAGCACATTTTTATAATTGATTAAATCCTTCTGTTTAGACATTAATAGAAACATGGTACTTGTTTTTATTGTGTAAGTTTTGAAATATTTTAATAATGCAGATAGTTTTACCTCGAATCATTCTGGGTAAGAAATACTTGAGTGGTACTTTGTGAGCACCGTATGTTTATGAAAGAGTCAGAGAAAATTAAGGAAGAGCCTTTACAGAGTACCTTGTTTTTCCTCAGCCTTTATGTTTTTTGTGCTTATGGGCTATTTTCAAAACTAGATTTTGACTGATAGGCTAAATAAATGTCCTATGACAAGACATCTTTTAGTCAGCTTTAACAGATGACTTTTTTTTCTCTTTCTCAGATTCCTTTTTATGAAGATATTTGTAAAGGCATTAAGGCTGGTGACACCTGTGAGAGGCTGGTAGGGTACTCTGCCGTGTATAAAGTCTGTTTTGGAATGGCGTGCTTCTTCTTTATCTTCTGCCTACTGACCCTTAAAATCAAGAACAGCAAAAGTTGTCGAGCTTATATACACAATGGGTAAGTCTTGGGTCTTTGTGGGCATTTTCTCCTTTCTTTACTGTTCTGGTTCCCTATTGCCACTCTGACAAGAATATACCACAAATGGGATGGCCTTAACAAACAGGAGTTTATTCTCTTACAATTTGGAGACTTTAAGTCCAAGTTCAAAGTGCCAGGTTCTAGGGGCTGGGTGAAAGCCCCTCAGCCTTGGGCTTTATTCAGCTCTGCCTCTAGCTCCTGGCCCACTGAAGCTAGAGGCTTTTCTTCACTCAGCTGCTGGCTGCTGAGGCTGACAAGCCCAAGGTTGACAAGTAAAAAGGCACAGTCCCAATATTACCAAACCACACAGCAGGCCATTAATTCAAGTCCATTGTAAGTCCCAAGGTTGGCAGAGCATAGCAGGCTGCTCAACAAAGACACGGCTACACGCAGGGTCCAAGCATGCCATAGGCTAGAGACCATTCCCCAAGGCTTCTGCTTATATGCAGGAAGCAGATCACATTCAGTAAGGCAGCTCCTCAGCTGCTCATAGTAGATTCCACCATGGAGTTGAGTACCAGTGTCATCCTGGGGAATATTACATCCAGCTGCCCAGCCACTCAACCAGGCCCAGCCAAGTTGACACACAAACTGAACTACCACACTTACATCTGAACAGTATTTCAGCATCCCTTCTACTCACTGGCAGTGGGTTTTTTTTTTTTTGTTGTTGTTGTTGTTGTTCTACTCACTGGATACTTATCACAGCTCCTCCTCTAATTGAAATTATTGATACTGATTTTAGAAAAGGTGGAACCTATACTTATCACCACATAGTATCCTAAGAGCTAGAATACTATTTCTAACACTTGCTACAGTAATGAGAGATTCAGTGGAGACATTGGAGTTCATTTCTGTACCAAGACCTTTCCCCAGGTCATCTCCAGTCCTGCAGTGAAATGGTGTTTTGCACAATCAGAGGCTATGCCAAGTCTGTCTAATTAAGGAAAAAGGCATTCTTCAGTCTCTTAATTACTTCCCCTCTTATTTGGAGAGAACAGTACCATTGGGTAGAATCATGCATTGACATGCTTACCTTCTAAGAAGTCTTTTTGTCCTTCCTTGAATATCATTTAAATACATTTCCTTTTTTCTTTTTTCCCCTCCCCTTCCAGCTTTTGGTTCTTTAAACTTCTGCTGCTGGGGGCCATGTGCTCAGGAGCTTTCTTCATTCCAGATCAGGAGACCTTTCTGAACGGTACAAATGGGTTATTTGGGATACCTATTTATTTTGTTCTTACCCATTTTTTGTAGAATTGTTCAGAGTGCCTCTAATACTTTGAATTACTGATTATCTTGTGGCTTTAAAAACAAAAACAACTCTGTCTTACCCGCTCACATTGTATCCACCCTCTCCACTTCCTCCTCTTCCCTCACCCTCTTTCCATCCTCTCCCCTACCTCCTCTCTTCCTGGCAGGGTGTTGGAGGACCTTTTATTTTCGGCTGGCTGAAGTATTAAAATGATAATTGTAAGGTTATTGGCCTATAAGGAAAATGATGATGTTGTTATGTGCCATTGAGTCAGACCTGACTCATAGCGACCCCTCCTTGGGTTTCCGAGCTGGTATCACTATAGAAGTAGATTGCCCAGCCTTCCTTCTGAGGAGTGGCTGGTGGGTTTGAACCGCCATCCTTCTGGTTAGCAGTCAAGTGCCTTAGGCAAACTTGTTTGGCCCAGGGAGAACTTGTTATTTCTGAGCAGGGCCTGGAAAATCTAGGTGACCAGAGCTCCCTCACTTTCCTATAAGATACTTAAAATACATTGTATTCCAGTTTCCAGGGAATAGCTGTGGTGCTGTAGAAATAGTCCTATATCAAGGTCCAGCCAGTCATAACTAGTTTTTCATGTACTCTATAAGGAAGTTCTATCCCTTTCACAACCACTACTTTAAAAAATTTAAGGAGCTCTGGTGGTGTAGTGCCTAAGGCATTTGACTGCTAACCAGAAGGTTGGCAGTTCAAGCCTGCTAGCCACTCTGCAGAAGGAAGACTGGGCAATCTACTTCTGTAAAGATTTACCACCTCAGAAACCCAGAATTGACTCTATATCGGTGAGGGTTGTTTTTTTTTTTGTTGTTGTTAAAAAATTTAAATTTTGATCCTACACGAAAATGGATATTCTTCTTATGTTGTTGTGTGCACATTTGTTAATTGAAACTTACGATGACAAGAATCAACTGTTGGGGCAAAAGGGCACTTGCCTTTCAGCTGTTAGCTTTGGATGTTTGGAAAAGCCATCTGGGGTGTTTTGGCATTGTGATATTTGCATCCAAGCAGGAGTTACTAAAGGAATGTTTGTGTCTGTCCATTATCACAGTCACTATGTAAAATAGGACCTCTGTTTTGAAAACCCTTTCAAAACAACAACCAAGAATATGTCTTGATTTTACCTAAAACAAGCAAAAAACCATTAACCAGTTTTCTGTTCCTCACAGAGGCACTTTTTTTTTTTTTTTTTTTACGGTTATAATGTTTTTTTTTTTTATTAGGATTTGGGTGAAGATTTACAGAGTAAATTCACTTTTCATACAGCAGTTCACATATACTTTGTCTCATGTCATTGACCAAAATTTACAATGCAGCAGCTCCCCTCCCACTTCCTCCCCATAGTTACCTCCTCCCCGTGTCCATCCCTTCATACTCTTCGAGAGGCCCATTTTCTGCCAACCCTGTATATGATCTTGGATACACTCTCCATTTAGACATACATAATTGTTTAGCTTGTTCACCCATCTATCCGTCCCTATACCCATATTTGCTTTCATTAACAACTCAGTATTGTATTTACAAAGGGGTTCATATTTGTTGTTTGTACTGCCCATGTAACTCTCTCACAGAGGCACTTTTATCTATTAGAATCACATGGTTAGAATGAGAAGAGACCTAGAAAACACCTCGTCTGCCGAGTCATTTTCACAGACAAGCTGTAACCCAGAGATGTGGTGTGGCCCATTCAAGGCCACAGCCTCTCTCTGGCACAGCTAGAAATAAACTACCCCTGTCCTCTTAGGCTGGAACTCAGACCCTTAGTGGACATTGGTGGTTGTTGTTGTTGCTTATAGTATCTAATAAAATCTCAACCTTGAGTTTTCAAGTGATAGGTGTTCTTGGTTTTAAATTGTGGATTTTATAAATTACTGTATCTGATGCTATCTGGGAGTTATAGCTTAGAGGCTAAGTTTAGATGGCCACTGCCTCTGTTCAAATCCCAATTACATGCTTTATTAACCGTGGGACTTTGTCACTTCTTAGACTCTGAGTTTTCCCATGTGTAGAGTGGGTATCACAGTAGTACCCACTTATATGGTTTTGTGGGAGTTAAATGTGTTACGTGTGTAATTGAGCATTCAGTAGAAATTAGCTGTAGTCCTTTTCTCTGTTTTGAGGTAAATACATGGGTCAATCACCTCATCTCCTTTGTGTTGATCTTCTGCAGCCTGGCGTTATGTGGGAGCCATAGGAAGCTTCATCTTCATAGGCATCCAGCTCATCCTGCTTGTGCAGTTTGCACATAAATGGAACAAGAACTGGTATGTGCTTTCATGGGAAGCTACTCAGAGAGCCTGCCCAGGGTCCAGCGTTGGAAAAAGCTCTACCAGGAGTCGTATTGTTAGAGATTAACAGCCTGCTTACACCAAAAATAATTTTTCTTGGCACTTTTCCTTCATTTAGGAGCCCTGGTGGCACAGTGATTAAAGCACTTGGCTCCTAACGAAAAGAATGGTGGTTTGAACCCACCAGCCACTCTGTAGGAGAATGATGAGGCAGGCTTGAAAACACTATGGGGCATTTCTCTGTCCTATAAGGTTGCTATGAGTTGTAATTGACTCGATGGTATTCAGTTTTGTTTTGTTTTTTCCTTCACTCCAGCCCTTTGTACCTCTTTATTTACTACTCTCATATTCTATTTTCCTATCCTTTTTGCCTTTCCTTATTCCATTTTATAATTATTTACTTTTTGGCTCTCTCTCTCCTTGCACTTTCTTATCTGGGCTCTGAGCCAGTCAGTGGTATGAGTTAACCACATTCAAGCCCGTGCTGGCACCTTTTGGCCTTGACTGGTTTTTATGGTAGCTGAAAGCTTGGTTGGGCTTCAGATTCACCCCTCCACACAAGATATATAAAAAAAAATAACATAACTTTAAAGCTGAAGTTTCCCTTTCTGCAAAGAATACAAGATTGGAATTCTTTTCTTTTTTTTGTTTTGTTTTGTTTGTTTTCAGGTGCCTAAGAGTGGAAGGGCCCTTTTACCCTTCCCTAGGAAGAACTCTTGTGGTACTTTAGAAAGCCATCCTGCCTTTTAGAAAGATAGACACTTTCTATGTGCCTGGAAAAGAGAATTCACATTCTAGGTGGTGTGGGAAATGACATACTATTAGTAACCAATTTTATTTCTTGCTGAGCCACACTGAGAAAATGACAACTGGATAAAGGACCAGCACTTTGAGTTCCGAGGTCAAGTACATGGTCTTTGACTTTGGAAAAAGCATTAATTGCACTTGCTTTATTTTCCTGGTTTGTACGATATGTATAAAAATGCCTGCCTGTTGTACCCAGTAAGGCTTTTGTTATTTTATAGACGTCATGATAGTTTTTTGGGAAAAGAAAAAGCAGTGGTGGTGTATGAATGTTCAAATCCACCAGCCACTCCTCAGAAGGAAGGATTGGGCAATCTACTTCCATAGTGATACCATCTCAGAAACCCAAGGAGGGGTTGCTATGAATTGGAGACAACTCAGTGACACATAACAACAACAACAACAAAGGCTAATGATTGCAAGCATTTCTTCTTGTGTTTTGTTGACTGCCTGAATATCTTTGGTGAACTATCTGTTCATATCCTTTCCCCATTTTTGAATTGGATTGTTTGTCTTTTTGATGTTGAGGTGTTGAAGTTTTCTGTAAATTTTAGATATTATAGTCCTTGTCAGATATGATTTTGCCAAATATTTTCTCACAATCTGTAGGTTCTCTTTTTACACTTTTGGAGAAGTCCTTTGATGCACATAAGAATTTAATTTTCAGAAAGTCCTAGTTATCTTATTTCTTTTTTTTTAGATTGTGAGTTGGGTGAAAGTTTCCAGAGCAAATTTACTTTCCATACAGCAGCTCACAGACACTTTGTCTCATAACATTGGCAACAATTTACCACAATGCAACAGTTCCCCTGCCACTTGCTCCCCATAGTTACCTCTTCCCTGTGTCCTTCCCTCCATGCACTCCTGCCCCCTGAGCTGTCTCCCTGTGCATACACAGCCCTTCTTTCTCCCCTGATTGTTCTCTCCAAGGGGTGTATCTACCTCAGGCAAATGTTCAGCTCATATGCCTGTCTATTGTTTGGCTGGAAGCCACAGGAGTGGGTTCAATTCCAGACCTGAAGGGCAGCTAGGGGTCATAGTCTCAGTAGTTCCATCAAGCTCTACCAGACCAGCAAACCTGGTCTCCCCACCCCTAATCTTTTTTTCTTTTTTAAATGATTTTGAGTTTTGTTCCACATTCTCCCACTCTATACAGGATCTCCTACATAGATCCCCCTCCGAGTGGTTGACAGTGGTAGGCCAGGCACCACCTAGTTCTTCTGAATACGACTCATAGTTGTATAGGCTGAGGATCACATGGTGTGCCAGTTGCTTAGACTAATTGTTTCCATGTGTCTTTGGTTTTCTTCATTCTTCTTTGCTCTGGACAAGGAGAGACCCATCATTGCATCTAGATGGCCGCTTGCAAGCTTTTAAGATCCCAATTGCTACTCGCGGCAGTAGGATATGGAACAATGTTTTGTACAGTATGTTATGCCAGTTGAGCTTGAGGTCCCCTGTGACTGTGGTCCTGGGCCCACCAGTCCAACTATTCTCTCCCTCTGGGTAGCTGGCTGTGGCCAAGAAGTGACTACAACCTTGTCTCTTGTCAGCTCTGCTATATACCTGGGAATTTTTACAGAACATACAAATACACTTGTAGGACCATTGTCTGCCAACCCTATACATGGTATTGGGCACACTCCCCCTTATATAGACATACCTAACAGTTCAGCCTGTCCACTCATCTGTCCACCCGTATATCCATGTTTGCCTTTGCTAACAACACAGTACTGTATGGGCAAGAGGGTTCATCTTTGTTGTCTATACCTCCCATGCACTTCTTCTTATATCTCTTCTGCTATTTACGTATTTGGGGTTATGCTTGATAGTCTGTTTACACCATAAATTAGGGCTCCTAAGGTTGCCTCTGTTTTATCTTTGACGAACTTTATAGTTTTGGGTTTTATGTTTAAGTCTTTGATCCATTTTGAGTTAATTTTTGTGTATGGCATGAGATATGGGATCTTGTTTCATTTTTCTGCAAATGGATATTCAGTTTTGCCAGCAACGTTTGGTAAAGAGACTATCTCTTCCCCATTTAGTGGGTTTTGGCCCTTTGTCAAAGATCAGCTGACCATAGGTGGATGGATCTATTTCTGGACTTTTAATTCTGTCCCACTGGTCTTTGTGTCTGTAGTTGCACCAGCACTATGCTGTTTTGACTATTGTGGCTGTATTGTAGGTTTTAAGATCTGGGAGTGTGAGACCTCCTACTTTGTTTTCCTTCTTCAATAGTGCTTTGCTTATCCTTGCTTTCTATCCTTTCCATATAAAATTAGTGATTGGTTTTTCCTTGTCCTTAAAGAATATTGATGGAATTTGGATTGGGATTGCATTGAATGTATAGATTGCTTTAGGTAGTGTTGACATTTTCACAGTGTTCAATCTTCCTATCCGTGAGCATGGTATGTTCTTCCATTTTTGTAGATCTCTTATAGTTTCTTGAAGTAGTGTTTTGTAGTTTTCTTTGTGTTGCTGGTAAGATTTATTCCTAAGTATTTTATCTTTTTGGTGCCTATTGTAGATGGTATTGATTTCCTTTACAGAGACCTCTTCGCTAGTGTAGAGGAATCCAACTGATTTTTTTTTTTTTAATTGTGATTTGGGTAAAAGTCCACAGAGCAAATTCACTTTCCATAACAGCAGTTCACACACACCTTGTCCCATAACAAAGTAAAACCATATTTCCAGATGATATGATGCTCTACATAGAAAACCCAAGAGACTCAGCAAGAAAACTACTGGAACTAACTGAAAGGTTTGGTAAACTGGCAGGATACAAGATCAACATACAAAAATCAGTTGGATTCCATTGGCTTAACATACTACACAAAACATTGTTCCACTACCTACTTTGGCAAGTAGCAACTGGGATCTTAAAAGCTTGCAAGCAGCCATCTAGATGCAATGATAGGTCTCTCTTCATCCAGAGCAAAGAAGAATGAAGAAAACCAAAGATTCACTTTGATCCGTATAGATAATTTTTAAAAAGCAATAATGCTCAAAATAGAAATTTTTAACTAAGCTTAAACTATTGCTTGGTTTTCAGAAGACTTTAGGGGATATTTTTGGTTTAAGGATTAAAGATTATTTCAGGGCAATAACTTCAGGAGTTCATTCTATCTATCTCATCATGGCTCTAGAAAGTCTGAATTCCATGAGAATGAAATTCTTTGCTATATTTCCCCCCTTTCAATCAAGATTCTCCTATGAAAATATTTAGTAATGGTAGCAAGATACCATCCAGTTCTTCTCATCCAATGGATAAAAGAGAGGAGGCCATTGTTCATGGAGGCAGTTAGCCACACAGTTGATATCCTGCTCCTGTTCCTGACTCTTCATCTTTCTTTGTTGCTCCATGTAAACAGAGACCAACTATTTTACCTTGGATGCCACTTGCAAGCTTTTAGACTCCAAGTACTATACATTGAATTAGAAGGTAGAACAGAAGCACTAAATTCATTTTTAGACCTGTTAACTGAGATGTCCCATCAAACCATGACCCTAAACCTCCAAATCAATAAACCAAATCCCATAAGGTTTTTGGTTGTACCACAAGCAAGCCTTAGCAGCTACTGTGTTGGTTTTTTTTTTTTTTTTTTTTTTTTTTTTTTTTTTTTTTTTTTTTTTTTTTTTTTTTTTTTTTTTTTTTTTTTTTTTTTTTTTTTTTTTTAAGTTTTTTGTCTTTGTTGTAAATATCTTTCACACAGCTTTTGCCAGCTCAGCTTTTTACATGCATACAACTTGTTGATAGTAATGACAGTAACCCGATGTGCACCCCTATCCTTTGGGCACCATCTAGTTCTTCTGATCTCAGGATAGAAGAACCTGTGGCTGTTAGCCCTGTAGACTAGTTTATTCTCTGACACTTTAGTTTCCTTCTTTCTCTTTTGCTTCTGACAAGTAAGGACCAATACTTGCTTGTTAGATGGCAGGTCGCAAGCTCTGAATACCTCAGACACTGTTCAGTTCACAAGGATGTAGAACATGAACTTTGTGAACTATGTTATGCCAGTCAATTGTGTTGTTTCACGAGGCTAAAGTTATGACCAATTTTTTAAAGCATGCTGAAATAGTCAGACAAGCAGCACTATAGATAAGGTTTTTTTTTTTTTTTTTTGCCTCTTCTTAATCTTAAAAATAATACTGATTTTTAGAGCTGAGTCATG